GAGCCGGAGACCGAGCCCGAGCCGGAGCCCGAGCCCGAGCCCGAGCCCAAGCCTGCACCCAAGCCCGAGCCCAAGTCCAAGCCTGACCGAGCCCGAGCCCGAGCCCGAGCCCGAGCCCCAGCCCGAGCCCGAGCCCGAGCCCAGCCCGAGCCCGAGCCCGAGCCCGAACCCGAGCCGGAGCCCGGGCCCGACACACAGAGATACAGACACACAAATACACAGACACACAGACACACAGACATTCAAGCACACTGACACACGCAGCACCAGAGACACAGACACACAGACACTCAGACACACAGACAGACAGGCACACAGACGCACAGACACACAGTCACACGCAGACACGCAAAAACAGCAACACGCAGAGACAAGGACACACAGACCCGCAGGCACAAAGGCACACAGGCACACAGACACACAGACAGACAGACACACAGACACACAGACAAACATATACACAGACACACAGACACACAAACACACAGACACACTGACACACTGAAGACACACAGACACACAGACACACACACACACACAGACACACAGATACATAGACACACAGACACACAGACACACAGACACACAGACACTCAGACACACTGACACACTGACACACAGAAAGACAAGACACACAAACACGCCGACACACAGACACACAGACACAGATACACTCAGAAACATAGAAACTCAGAAACACAGCCACAGAGACACACAGAAATACAGGAAGACAGAAACACGTGCACACAGGCACACAGACACACAGACACACAGACACAAAGACACACAGACACCCAGACACACAGGTACACAGACAGACAGACAACCAGACAGACACACAGACAGACAGACACAGAGACCCACAGACACACAGACACACAGACAAACACACACACGGACGCACGGACACACAGACAAACACGCACAGACCGACAGACAGACGGCCATACAGAAACAAAAGACACAGGGACACACAGACACACATACACAGAGACACAGTACACAGACACACGGACAGACCGACACACAGACACACAGACACAGAGACACACAGACACACGGACACAAGGACATGCAGACACACAGACACACGGACACACACACACACAGACACACAGACACACAAACACACAGACACCCAGACACACAGACAACCAGACACGCAGATACACAGACACACAGGCACACAGACACACGGACACACTGCCACACCGACACCCAGACACACGGACACCCAGACACATAGACACACAGACACACAGACACACTGACAAATTGACACACTGGCATTTAGAAACACAGACACAGACACACTCACACACGGACCCACAGACACAAGACACACACACAGATACACGGACACTCAGGCACGCAGACACACAGTTATTCTGATCGGTTTCTGTGCGAGTTAAGTAACTCGTAGAGCTTCCATTGGGAAGTTATTGCTGGAAGCATTAGAGTAATTCCGGGGCGCTGGAGAGCTACTTGGGAAAAGAATTTCGACGGACCTTTTGCTGACTTTTGGTCGGTTGAAAATTTTTTCTCGGAATTACTCAATTCGTTTGAGCTCTAGTATTTTTTCCCGTGCTATTCGATCATATTCCCGCTCGCCATCTTGATCTCAGCTTGATCGGGTACCTTGTACTGCCAAAAAGCGTCCAGGCGGGATCGGCCGTTTCCAGTCATCTCGATACGAGCTCTCGGTATATTGGACTTAACTCGGGATACAGGACAGCTATAGAGCTTGTAAACACACCTTATCGATTCAGAATGATCAGACGCGTTCGTCTGTTGCATCCAGAGGTCTGAACTCGGTCTGCTAGCCGAGCTAGGTCCGCAAACCTATTCGTATTATTCGAATCATCTTGACAGGCGCTCTCGGTTTTCTGTACTTAACTCGAGCTATATGACAGCTACAGCTACAGAACTTATACTTACAGAAACGGATTCATAATCATCAGTCGCGTTCGTCTGTTGAATCCAGAGCTCTGAACTCGGTCTGCTGCCCGATCTAGAATCGCGAAACTATTCGTATTGTTCGAATCATCTTGAGAGGTGCTGTCGGTTTTCTGTACGTAACTCGGGCTGTAGGGGGGCTACAGTGCTGGTAGTCAATCAGGCGCGTCCGCCTGTCGAATCCAGAGCTCGGAACTCGGCCTGCTGCCCGAACTAGGTCCGGGGAGCTATTCGCATTGTTCGAGTCATCCTGAGAGGTGCTGTCGGTTTTCTGCACTTAACTCGGGCTGTAGGGGGGCTGCAGGGCTGGTAATCACAGGAATCGATTCGGAGACACGTCCGCCTGTCGCATTCAGAGGGTCTGAACTCGGTTTGATACTCGAGCTAGGTTTGCCAAACTATTCGCATTGTTCGAGTCATCTTGAGAGGTGCTGCCGATTTACGCACGTAACTCGGGCTGTAGGAGAGCTACAGAGTTCGTACAGAAGACAATCCAGAAGCATCGGGGGCGTTCGGCTGTTGCATCGTGAGGTCTGAAATCGCTTGGGCTGAAAAACTATTCGTTATCTGCAAAATTTTGTTCGACATTATATATTGTCAGGAAGCTCTACGAGTCCCCCGGCGGTAAGAAAGGTTGACAGTTTACCGCCGGCGCCCAGTACAGAATATCCACAGCGCCTGTAAAGACAACTTGAGGAATACGAATAGTGTCATGGACCTAGCTCGAGCAGCAGACCGATTTCAGGCCTTTCCATGCAAGAAACGAACGCACCTGGTGAAACCAAATCGGTTTCTGTGCGTACCAGCTCTGAAGCTCCTCTGAATCTTGAATTGAGTACAGAAAACCGACATCACTGGTCAAAACGACTCGAAGAATACAAGCTTTACGGAGCTAGCTCCAGTACCAGACCGAGTTCAGGCCTCTGGACGCAATGGACGAACACGCCTGATGATTCTGAATCGGTGTCTGTAAACTTCAGCTCTGTAGCTCTTCAAAATCTCGAGTTACATTCCGAAAACCGTCAATGCGTGTGAAGATGACTCGAAACACAGCCGGTTCCTGCAAGTCTTTTGATAGAAATATTGCAGCTACGGACCTGAGAATTTCACTGGCAGACGCGGCATAACCCACTACACGTGAGAAAAATCTGGTTTCTCAAAATGAATTGTCAAATATCTTTCAAATCTTTGCAAAACCGACCCCAGGTGACCACATTGTCTCTTAACGTCCGGTCGGCCAACTGGGCGCCGGCGGTAAACCGTGAACCTTTCTTACCGCCGGGGGACTCGTAGAGCTTCCTGACCATACATTATGTCCGAAGAACTAACAGAGAACGAATAGTTTTTCATCCAGAGCGCTGAGCAGACTGCTCTCTGGCGTCTAGTGATATCACATTGAGTTCTATCTCATCTGCAGCGTGTAGAAAATACCATTAGGCAGACCTTCACGCCTCATGATTTCCTTCTGATTTTTCGGCCGCTCGAGCTCAGCTAAGCAATTCACCATCGTTTGGAAAAAATATCGGTCCAATACGAATAACTTTGTGAACCCAGCTCGGATAGCAGACCGAGTTCAGACCTCTCGATGCAATAGACGAACGCTCCTGATTCTCGATCGGTTTCTGTACGTACCAGCTGTGTAGCTCTCCTACAGCCCGAGTTCAGTACAGAAAATGAACAACATCTATTAACATGACTCGAAGAATACGAATAGTTTTGCGGACCTAGCCCGAGTAGCAAACCGAGTTCGGACCTCTAGATGCAACAGACAAACGCGCATGACAATTTCGAATCAGTTTCTGCGCATATCAGCTCTGTTGCTGTCCTACAGCCCGAGTTACGTGCGAAAACCGGCAGCATCTCTCAAGATGACTCGAACGATACGAATAGTTTCGCTGGCCCAGTAGCAGACCGAGTTCAGACCTCTGGATGCAACAGACCAACGCGCCTGATTATTCTGCATCGTTTTCTGTGCGTATCAGCTCTGTAGCTGCCCTAGAGCTCGAGTTAAGTACAGAAAACCGACAGTCCCTGACGAGATGACTCGAGGGATACGAATTGTTCTGCGAACCCAGCTCGAGTAGCAGACCGAGTTCAGACCTCTGCATGCGACAGGCGAACGCGCCTGATGTCTCCGAATCGATTTCTGTGATTACCAGCCCTGTATCTGCCCTCGAGCCCGAGTTCAATGCAAAAAACCGATAGCACCTCTCAAGATAACTCGAACAGTACGAATAGCTTCGCGGACCTAGCTCGAGCAGCAGACGGAGTTCAGACCTCTGGATTGAACAGACTAACGCGTCGGATGATTCTAAATTGGTTTCTGATAATATTAGCTCTGTAGCTCTTCTATAGCTCGAGT